GCCTAGTGATCCTATTTTAGCCTCTCTAGTGCTGGGATTACAAGCATACACCACCACACCCAGTCTCAGTAGCCAGCTCAGTGTGCCGGGGGCAGGGCCGGTGCAGCATGTGGTGCCGGTATCGAACCCTTGTCCCTGCACTTGCCTAAGCAGGTGCTTAGTCCACTGAGGTATCTTGCTGGCCCTTAATTTTATATTCTCATATGGTTGAAAGATTAAACAGCATTTCATTACAAGTAACAATTAGGAGGCCAGGGAGATAGCTCAGTAGAATAAGTGCCTGCCTGGCAAGCGCAAGGGCCTGAGTTCAATCCCTGGTTCTACAAAAAAACCCCACCAAAAAAAAAAAAAACCAGTAACAATTAGGCAACAGTTCAAATCTGAGTACTGGTCAATAAAGTTTTACTCATCTGTTTACAGACTGTCTCTGCGGTTCCACACCATAGCACAGCAGTGGGCAGTTACAACAGAAACCACATGACCTAAGTATCTGCTCCCCAGCTAATTAGGGGCAGTTTGCTACTCTGGGTCAATAACACCAGGGGTACAGGGAGGCTCTGGCCCATGGTGAAGGTCTCTGCAGGTAGGATGGTGAGCGCCCAGGCGGTAAAGTGTACTTAGGGTGGAAGTTAATGTCAAGCCAAAGAACAAGAGCTTTCCCCATAGACGGGGGGTTGAAATTATTCCCACAAACATGGATACAATAGTAACACCTATATGGGCATGGTAGAAAATTCTAGAAGCCTCCAAAGGGTGTGCTGCAAGAAAGGTAATCAGTGTTCTGGCCTTAGACCCTAGGCGATGCTTCCTTGGCACCTGTGTATCCATTCTTCGGTCCTTGTAACTGAGAGACTGTTAGGCACACATGTTATGGTTTGTGTCTAGTTGTTCCCCCAAAGCATCATGCAGTCATAGGGCAGCTTCTGGAGTTTGTGATCAATTCATGATCCAGTGCTGGGATTACGGGCGTGCGTGCTACACCCAGCCTGGGGCAGATATCCTGGATGCAACATAAGAGAGACAGACTTGCTCTCTGTTGCCATTGTTGCCGCTACTGCTCCCATGTGCTCTTGCTGTTCTGCTGTTTTCCACAGCCATGAATGGCTGCCCTCTGCCATGTGCCACTCTGCCTTGGAGCCAGCCCAGTACGGACTGAAATCTCCACTAACTGTGAAGTAAATAAACCTTTCCTTCCTTAATTTTGGGTATCAGGTATTTTGTCCTAGCAACGAGGGAAAAGTGACTGAGGCAACACACAAACACACAAAAGCTTCCAGGTATGTGTATTCTTTTGTTTAAGACCTGCCAATGATAGCATGTTATAGAAATACTGTTCTACAGTCTGCTTGTCAGTCTATTTCCATTTGTCCTATTTGGAACTGTCTTCTCACCAGCTATATAAGGTGGATAGTTTTTTCCCTTTGCAGTACTGGGATAGAATCGAGAGCTTGTGGATGCCAGACAAGTGCTCTACTACTGAGCTGCACCCTGACTCTTTTTGTTTATTATTTTTAAATGTATTTTAATACAGGGTCTCACAACACAGATCAGTCTCATAGTGATTCTCCTGCTTTCATCCTCCCAAGTGCTGGGATTACAGGCGCATGCCACCATGCCCAGTCTCAGTTGCCGACTCAGTGTGCATGCCAGGGATCGAACTCTGGTCCCTGCGCCTGGCTAAGCAGGTGCTTTAGTCTGCTGAACTATCTGGCCAGCCCCCTTTTATTCTGAGACAGGTTCTCGCTAATTTGCCCAGAGTGGTCTCAAATGCGAAATTCCCTTGCCTCAGCTTTCTAAGTAGCTGGCATCACAGGTATGCACCACGTTTATTTACCAAGCCTGAGAAGGGCCTGGGCCAGGAACCCACTCATATTTTGGGAAGCTCTGTGAGGAACAAGATTCCAGACCTAGAAGCAGGAAGAGTGGTAAGGCACCGGACAGACAGACAGACCCAGAAGCCAGGACCTGAGGGTGACCTAAACTCCTAAGTACTCAGGGCCACCAGCTGGGACCTTCTCTCCCGCTCCAGGGGCTCGTACCTTGGTGGGCGTGTCTGGGATGGATGAGGTGGGAGAAGCAGGGGAGGTCAGGACACACTTCTTGCCCAGGCAGCGGCCGTGCAACTCGATGTCCTCATATGGGTTCTCCTTCATAGGCGGATCTGTGGCCAAACATAACAGGTGAGGAAGCGGGGAAGGTTTCCTGTTGGGGACACTCAGGCAACACTGTAGCATCTTGAGTGCTGTATCTCTGCTGTTTTGTTCTCTATCACCCTTCCTTTTATTGACAGACCTTCTTTTCCATTTGGGTAACTCCCTGTCTCCCTCATGGTCACTATGGAACATTATTAACTCCCAGGGCTTAGCCACAGTGAAGTGTCCAGGGAAGGCTGGCATGTCAACTGAGACAACCGCCAAGGGCACTCTGACCTCCAAAATCAACAAGTGACCTCAGCAGATCTGGCAAGGATGAACCTCAGGGCTTCTGCTGGGACCTCTGGGCCACTGGCTTGCCTTCCCCTGGGGAGGGCATGGACTTTAGGGGCTGGATGGCAGCCACCCTAGAGGCTACAGATGCATGTGAGGATGGAGCTGCTCTGGCTGGTAGGAAGGGGAGGGAGAAGCCAGTCCTGGATTCAGGGGCTCAGAAACTCCTTTTGCCGTTTTGGTTGGGTTTTGTCCTTCCCAAGCAGATTCTACTAAGAGAAATCTAGGCTGGACATGATGGTCCACACCTGTAATCCAAGCACTCAGGAGGTTGAGGCAGGATTGCTGCAAGTTTGAGGCCAGCTTGGGCTACAAACTGAGTTCAAGGCCAGCCTAAACTACATAATGAGACTTTGTCAGAGAGAGAGAGAGAGAGAGAGAGAG